CGGATTCGGTGCTAACAACATCGGGGCAACGACGTTCGGAAACGAGAAGAGCGCTCATAGAAGTTTTCCAGATCTTAATTTGGCATTTTTTTATTTCAAACGTAAAGAAAAGGAAATCCCATCATCACATTTAGACCTCCGCGATTTCTCTGAGACGGCGGATGGTGGAGCGGGTGGCAGCGGCGGCGGGGGTACTGTGTTACAAACGTCCAGCGATCAGCAATCGTGTCACTTCTTGGAAGCTGCGGGGGGCCCAGTCTGGCTGGTTCGTGTCGACAAGTCGACAAGATGGCGGGACTTACGAGACGGTGTAGGCACCACCGGCAACGGTCTTCTTGCAGCCCTTGCACTCCCAGATACCAACAGCCTGGCGCTTGACGGTGTTCTTTCCGCAGAAGGTGCAGATGTAACGGGCGTGCTGGGACACTTCCATCTTCTTCACCTGCTTACGCAGGGAGGCACCGTATCTATTATCATGCCATCGTCAATATACATTTCGTGTCACGGTGCGAAGGATTTCGATGTGCCGTTTGCTCGATAATCATCGTTCGGTTTGTTGTCGCGATCGAGGCTTTTCGAAAATTTTTTCTGAGGGGTTCGGAGTGGAAGGGCGCGAGTGCCTACCTGGTACCATATTTACCGGTGATGCCGACCTCTGCAATATCCAGTCAGTAATTAATTCAAAAGGCCAATTTCGCATTCTTCTCGCGCAGAGATTCGAGGGTATACACATACTCTTAGTGCGCTTCGTCATCTTGGCTGGATCCGGCTGTTGAGGTCGAAGATGGATACAGTGCGGTAAGTCGAAATCGAGACGTGAGTCTTTCTAGTCGGGAGTGGTTGTGGGCGGGCTCGCTTAGGGCTGCACCTAGAGTCACGTGAGCCGCATCATACTTGGGCTGTCTCTAGGAGAGCATAGATCCGAGTATTCACGTTATGAGACAGTGAGGGTCAACGAGTTCTACTTCTCCCACATTCTCAAGTCTTCTTTTCTATTTTACCTTTTTTTCCTTCCTCTTTATGACTCTCCTGGCCGCGTTACTGTGCGCGCATATTCTGCAGGAGTCGTGATGACATAATAAATTCACGGGTTCGAGCTTATGTAATTCGCCCTGCATTACTTGCCATCAAGGTGCTGACAACTTCGCTTACTAGTATTGTGCACCCATGCTCTTGGGGTAGGAGAGTGAAAGCTACCTATGAGGCTCTTATGCTAACTACTGTAATACATTCTATCAGCTTCTGTAGAGCGAAGTTCAGTTCCCCAAATGAGGGGCATATAAATATCCGATCACATGCATGGGGCAGACTGATCTTTGGTATGTCTGGATCCGGTTAGTCCAGTCTAGTACTCGTGCTACCACCGATCTGGCCGGAACCGAGCAACCTCAGGCAAGCCATCCCTAGTTGTATAAACTCCGTTCCATGCGCGCATCAGGTGCAGCAACTCCTTTGAACAACTAAATCACTGCCTCCGGCTGCGTACGTGTGGTCTACGAGCCGTCACTTCAAATCCTAAGTCTTATCGATAGTAGCAACCCACCACGCCGAGATGGAGTCTCAGAGAGAGTACGATATCATTCTCCTCGGCCCCACTGGTTACACAGGACGCTTCTGTGCCCAGCATATCGTCAACCATCTGCCGACCAACCTGAAATGGGCAGTGGGTGGACGCTCTCAGCCCAAGCTTGAGCAGGCCGTCAAGGACTTCAAGACTCTGAATCCTGATCGCAAAGATCCTGGTACTGTATCGCCGCTACACGCGTCTTCACATGTTAATGGATAGTAGATATTATTACTGTCCAGCTCAATAAAGAAGAACTGGCCCCGCTGGTACGCAGGACGAAGGTCATCATCAACTGCGTGGGTCCATACTGTTTGTACTCGACGCCGGTGGTCGAAGCCTGCGCCAGCAATGGGACACACTATGTCGATGCGTCGGTTTCTCTTTGTCTCCCGTTTGACCTCCTATACTGACTGAGCCACCATGTAGAACCGGAGAAACTCCCTGGGTGAAGACGATTGTTGAGAAATACCATGAAACAGCCAAGTCGAACGGCGCCGTTGTACGTCTTGCTCGCGTCTTCGCTCCATAACACCATTCTCTCTAACCACATCTCAACAACTACAGATCATCCCCTCCGTCGGAATAGAAAGCGCCCCCGCAGACATGCTGGCCTGGGCTCTTGTCAAACGCATCCGCGAGGACCTCGCCTGCGACACCAAGGAAGTCGTTTCCGCCATCCACGAGATGAAGTACGTGGCAACCTAAACCCCACTGCACTACCCGACTTCCTTACTAACATGACCACCAGATCCTCGGGCGCAAGCGGCGGCACCCTCAGCACAATCCTCACCGTCTTCGACACCCTCTCCTTCGCCGACATCGCCAAATCCGCCAACCCCTTCGCGCTCGCCGCCGCGCCACCCCCAGCCAACGTACCCGGCGAGCCCCTCCTCGCCCAACTCTCCGGCGTCCGGTACGTGCGCGACCTGGGGGCGCTGACGACCTCGCCATCCGGCCTCGCGGACGTCAACGTCGTGCACCGCAGCAGCTCGCTGATGCCGGAGTTCTACGGGCCCCACTTCCACTTCCGGCAGTTCCTGCGCGTGCGCAACGCGCTCGTCGGGGTGTTCGTTCACTACACGTTTCTGGCCGTGATCTCGCTGCTGATCTTCGCGCCGGTCCGCGCTCTGATCCGGCGGTACGTCTACCAGCCCGGCGCGGGGCCGACGGCCGAGGCGTCGGTGAACGACCACCTCGAGTATCGGGCCGTGGCGACGGCGGATCAACCTGTGGCGCCGAAGCGGGCGTTCGGCAAGTTGCGGTACCAGGGGGGTTGTTATGAGTTCACGGGGCTGAGCTTGGCGGAGGCGGCGATGGTGATTCTGGAGAATGAGGAGAAGGTCAAGCGGGTTTCGCGGGGTGGGATTGTGACGACGGCGGTGCTGGGGCAGGAGTTGCTGGATCGGTGGGAGAAGGTTGGGTGTCGGGTTGAGACGCAGGTCTTTGAGCATTAGCTTCGCTTTGTTAAATTTTTGTTTATTGTCTGATCATATTTGTGATATCTGTATGTTTTTCACCTTCTGTATGTGAATCTTATGACGCAGTCACTTGGAACACAATCAAACCTAACCAGTAAGGATCAAGCAAGCCCAGGGAATCAATCCAGCAATTCCCACCCATCACAGACCCCCATCAAGCAATACAATACTCCGAACGGTAGACCTCACAACCGCGACAACCCCGCCCTCCCAAAGACGACCTCCTCCAACCACCACGCAATGATCTCATTGACCTCCTCGGGCTTCTGCCACAGCGCCCAATGGCCCGTGTTCACTTGCTTGTAGGTCAAATGCGGGATCGTCCTGGTCATGCCGCCGCCGAGATTAGGCGGCAGGGCGGGATCCTTGAGGGCCTGGATGAAGAGCAACGGGGCGGTGATGCGGCGGTTGAGGATGGCCAGTTCGTCCTCGTAGTTGATCTTGCGGGTGCGGTACCAGTTTACTGTTCCGACCCCAGATTAGCCTGGACCTTCCACAGCCACCCACTCATATCCAAGGGTAGGATAGGGGGGAACATACAAGGTCCGCGAAGCCCATTCCGCGCAAACTCGGTAGCGTAGTACTCCAGTTCCTGTATACCCGCGCAGATACTGTTAGCATCGCACCACCACCCTGCCCCAAACCCAGGCAAAAAAAAAAAAAAAAGAAAAAACATACAACCTCACTCAACAGCCCCGACCCCGCCACCTTCTCCAACCGATCCCACAGCACCCCGACCTCAGCATCGAACGCGACGCTCCTCTCCTCGTCCGCCGTGCGCCCGCCGTACAGCGCCGACAGGAACCGCGCGATCTCGTCTTTGGTGTGCAGATTCCGCTCCAGCGCCCGGCCCCGGAACTGCAGCTGATAGCCGAAGTGCGGCGCGATGCGGCGCTCCGTCAGCGCCTCGAGCGACAGGTACTTGCGCGTGGGCGGCGCGTAGGGCACGCAGACGGTGAACACGTGCGAGACCAGCGTGGGGTGCCAGAGGGCGACGCGGTAGGCTAGGGCGGCACCCCTTGATTCGGTTCACTTTTTGTTAGCTGAATTGAAGGGAACAGAGGGGGGATATGGTTGGGGGGTTAGGGGCGGTACCAGTCGTGTCCGCCGAGGATGATCTGCTGGGCGTCGAGGTGGGCGGCGAGTCCTTTGATGTCGTTGGCGCAGTTGCGGTGCGAATAGAGGTGGATGTCCTCGGGGGCGTCCTGATGGCTTAGTTAGTGATCGAGATGTTTGGTATTGGTGGTGGTGGTGGTGGTGGTGATGATGATGGGTGGGGGTGAATACGGTCTGTCCGTAGCCCAGACAATCTGGGGCTACTACTCTCAACCCCATCTCGATGAGCATGGGGATCTGGTGGCGCCATCCCATGGAGAGGTCGGGGAAGCCATGGAGCTGGTTTCAAGTTAGGTTACGTTGCTAGACTCTAGTTCGAGGCTTTGTGTACACCGCGCAATTGATACTCACCAGGAAGATGGTGGCGCGGTATACTCCCGACTCCGGCTCGCTATACAAGTAGCCTGGCAATATATGTATGCATCAGCCTCGGTGCGTCTATCGCTCAATCACCTGATAAGTGCAAGCAGTGCGGCACGCAGGTGTCGGATGTCGCATATCGAAGCAATTGACCACCAAGCAACAAAAATATGCATAATCTTCTCACATACTGTATGTGTTGCCATTGAGATTGGCAGAGCGGCGCTCGACTCGCGAGTCGCCGGTGACGTCGATCTTGTCCACCGCCATTTCTGGGACACCACCAACAAAAGGATGGTTTTATGCGGCGAGTACAACTACTTTTTGAAAGGACAGTCAAAGATAATGGAATTAGCAGAACGGAAAAATAACTGGGTGAAGAGAGCAGAATCTACCATACCGACTTTCGGTTTAATCTAATAAATGGTACCTGATGGAGATTCCCCCGCCAGCTGTTCATCACGTGAAACTGAAGCTATATTTAATTTCCAAAAGCACCACGAGGCTGGGCCAGTGGAGTTGGGCACGCGACGGGAGGCTTCGCTCAGTCAGTCTGTCTTTTAGATAAGCCGTTGGATTAATCGTGAGAGAGGGAGAGAGAGACTCATGGAGACACAAGAGAGGGAGGAGGGGTACATTCCCCAGTCCCCCATTGTTTGATCGTTCTGCCGAAAATGCCTCGGCTAATTGTCAGATGCAAGATACAGCAGAATGCAGCTACAGTTACTCCATACATGCTCGTACGTACATCGTGCCTGCGTTCCAACTCCACGCTTTGCCTTTTCGTCGTGTACATAATGCTGCAGAATTCTCAGAATATGGCTATTGTAGAGTACAGTTAGATAGGATCGAACCGCTCATAGCTGCAGTTGGTTCTTCAGTAGATTACAGTGTCCTCCTGGTCCTCGACCACCTCTCCGCCGTCATCGTCGTGTGCGCGATGCAGATCATCGTGGCCGTCAGCCACAGACACGGTGCTATCATGTGCGGGTGTGGCGTCTTGTGGGGCCTGTTCTGCCTCCCCTTCGGATTTCGAGCCTGAGTTTTCTGCGCGTACAGCAGTCTCCTCCGGTACGCTCTTGGACTCGTGGGCTTCTGATTCTGGCACCGACGCCGGTCCCTGCGCATCATCCTGTGTGGTTTCCGGCTTCTGCTCGTCCTCTGCGTGGGTGTCCTGGTTCTGAGCTGCATAGCGTGCCTCAAACTCGGCCCTTTCTCGGGCAACGGTTGCTTCCGCCTCTTGGATCTGTTCGTCTATAACGTCTTCATCATCGGACCTCAATTGCCATGGTTTGTAGTACTATCCAGCACCCACAGTTAGCGTTACTCCGCATGCAAGCCAACCCCCTATCACCCTCAAGGATTACAAGGGCAAAGGTGAAACACATACCAAAACAGGCTCCGCCTTTGTCTTCAGATACCTCGCCGTAGCCAAGATATTTTCATGCCGAGTCCGCATCTGCACATGATAACAAATTAGCACTTTACACCGTAAACCACCTCGTAACCCCCAGAACTGCGAAGCAATCCAGAATGAGGGAAAAAAAAAGAGGGAGGGGGGGCGTACCGCTTCCTCCTCATAAGCCCTCTGGTACTTCTTCCGTCTCTGCACCCTCTCCTCCCGCCGCTTCTTCTTCAATTCCCCGTACTCCTCATCCTGTAACTTGAGCTTATCCTGCTGCCGCTTCTCGATATCCGCCCGCCGTCTCTGGGCCGCCGTGTTCGAGGAGCTCTGGGAGAGCGTGCCCAGCAGCGCGCCGAACAGCCGCTGGCCGCGTTTGCGCTCCTCGTCCTTGCGTCCGGCGGCCGGTCGGCGCGGTGGGGGTGGTGCGCGTTTCGATTCTTCCGGGGAGGCCGGGGGCTTCTGGTCTTGGTCTGCTGTGGGTTCCGGTTGGACGACTGGAGGGTGGTCGTTGTTGTTTGTTTCTGCGGCTTGTTCTTGTTGTTGTTCTTGGTCTTGGTCTTGGTCTTGGTCTTGGTCTTGGTCTTGGTCTTGTGGCTGGGTGGTGGAGGCGGAGGTACTCAATCGGCGGCGTTTGCTGTCTGTTTCTCTGCCGACTGCTGTGACATCATCACCGGCCTCGGTAGCGGAGGAGGACTGTCGCCGTTTGAGGCCTGCATTTGTTGTTGTGTGATCTGGGGAAGGGAGTCGGGGCTGGTGGTCTTCTGGATCGGGCAGAGCTACTGCCGATGCGAGAGTTCTGTTTGGGTGTATTTTTGTCATAGCGTCAGTAAAACGTGTCTCGTCCCAAAGAGCGTGTGGAGTATGCTTTAACAGAGAGAACTGAGACTGAGACATACCCTTCAGCCATATCCGCACTCAGAGACCAAACGGACCGGGGAGGTTGTACGAAAGGGTTCCCAAGAAAATTGATAACACCAGTGCTGAAGACAAGATGGTGTTATGTGCCTTGCAACCAAGGAGAACAAGCAATGACAATGAGTGAAGGAGGAAGAGAGATCAGACACAAAAATCACCCACGACCGAGAAAGAGCAGGGCAAGAGTGTTTCTCAACCAACTCCCAAACTGATAACTCTAGTTCAAGTTAGCGATGCGATCGATAACTTCTGGCCAGCTGCTTCGGCGGCGGCGCGGGACTGCTTCGTGCACGGACCACGCCTTACCCAATCGGGGCCTGCCGTTGGAGTTCATGTTGCAGTGGCAGAGCCGGACTGAGGAAGCGCGGCGATTCTTCTTCTTCCTTCTTCACTCCCTCTCATCTGGACCACACCTCCGTCAGCTCTCCCAAACCTCCGAGCTTAGCTATTCACCCTTGCTTTGAAATCCTCTCCATCCACGCCACCTGCAGCGTACAACACCTTCCTCTCCTGCTACGTGAAACCTTTTCCACCCCTTAAGTTCAAACCTCTTCCCTATCACCGACTTGAAACCTCCTACCATCATCACAACCTCACCCACAATCACAACCACAACCACCCCTACACCCACAAAATGTCCCGCCACCACCCCGATCTCGTCATGTGCCGCAAGCAGCCCGGCATCTCCATCGGCCGCCTCTGCGACAAGTGCGACGGCAAGTGCCCCGTCTGCGACTCCTACGTGCGCCCCACGACCCTGGTCCGCATCTGCGACGAGTGCTCCTTCGGCAACTACCAGAACAAGTGCATCGTCTGCGGCGGCGAGGGGATCAGCGACGCCTTCTACTGCTTCGAGTGCACCCGCCTGGAGAAGGACCGCGACGGGTGCCCCAAGATCATCAATCTGGGCAGTTCGCGGACGGACCTGTTCTACCAGAAAAAAAGTTTTCGAAATCATTGACCTTGCCCGCCCGTTGTACCGCTTATTCACCGCTTGTTTCGCCGCTGGCCTGGGGAAATGGAGCGGGTTATGGCCAGTTTTCTTACGTGATGTGATGCTCGACTTTTGCCGAAGCGCCTCGTCTTGGCTATTACGAATGAATTGATGCGAGAACACAAAAGCTGGTGGTGGAAGAACGCTCAGCTCTCTAAGTGCCGTGCCGGGGTGAGGGGCTATATACTGTATCGATCTCATAGAGCAAAAAAGCAAGATGTACAAGAAATCAGGGGCAGCCGTTGGGTCCACCTGGGACTGATCATATTTACCGTCCGGGACGTCTCGGTCTCGCGAACCCGCGACTGGGCCCGGTGCTTTGTTGCGGGTGGACCTCTTCCTGCAGCCTCTCGCCGGAGATCTCATCGGGAGAGGATGCCTCAATCTGCAAGTCCTAAATGTTAGCGGAGGCCCATTTTTACTGGATCAGCCGTTGACTGACCTTCTTCGAGACCTTCAGGCCCTGCTCTTCAGCCAGCGCGAGCGCGTGCATGCGGGAACTAGCGTACAGCATGCGCTCTCGGATCGACGACCCAGACGGGCAGGTGTAAATGAAGACCACGGTATCGGAGTCAGGGTAGTGATAGAAAGTGTACCGCGGCGAGGAGTCCGGGATGTGCGACTGGACGGAGTTGGCCTCGACGCCCGACTCGGCGACAGCCACCTTGAAAGCCTCCGACTTGACCTCGATGGCCTGTATTTAGTTGCGAAGCATATCGTTAGCGAGACCTCCAATCCAGATCCAATCATTCAAAGCAGATCTTATCCTCTTCTTCCCTCCTCTCCGGGAGTGAAAAAAAACCCCCAGCAACCAGATAAATCACCCGCATCAAACGAGACCAAAGACAGGGATAGGAGAAACACATACCAACTGCACCAACCCCCCAGCCTGCAACCCGCCGAGCGCCGCCTTAACCTCATCATCGACATGCATCTGGATGCGCATCCCCGACGCGCCCCCGCCCGTCCCCCCGGCGGCGAACAAACTGCCCCGCTGGAACGTGCCCCCGATGCCAATATCGCGGCCGGGGGTGCCGGACCGCGCCTCATCCTCCGCACGCCTCACGGCCTCCAACTCGCGCTCCTTCTCGCCCATCAGATCCTCCCGCCTCCACCCGAGCCCCTCACTATCAGCTCCAACATCCTTCCGGGACTTCTCCGCCTCCCGCTCCCGCCACGCCGCCTCCCCGATCACCTCCTCCTCGTCCGTGGCGAAGATCGTGGCCGCGAACTTCTCCGTGCCCAGTTCGCGGGCCAGCGTGGCGCGCGTCGCCGCGAAGAGGGTTTTGTTGCGCACGCCCGCGTTGGAGGGGATGTAGGTGAGGGCGAGCAGTTCACTTTGCGAGTCAGAGGTGGGCCGGCGGAGGAGCAGGTAGATCGGGGTCTTGGGTTCCAGGACGGTGGAGAGCTGCGGGAGGGAGGCGTAAAAGCTGGCGGCGTTCTCGGTCGATGAGGGGGAGGCGAAGGGGAGCGCGGGCAGCGGGGTCAGGCGCTCGGATTGGATGGTCACCGGCAGGCAGAATTGGGTAGCGTCGGTGGTGAAGCTTGTGAAGGCGGTTTGGAGTTCTTGGGAGACTACCAGGATTTGTACATTATTAGTTTTGGGGGGTTTCTTGTTGGGATTGGAAGGAGGGGTTGTGGATGGTGAGGTGGTTTTTGATGGAAGATGGGGCCCATGTCGTAATGTCAGGGGATGAGGCCGGGTGGAGGATCGGGGGGAAATGTTGGGGAACTTGGAGCCAGAGAAGTGTGCAGTGGAGATGAGAACGTACCTGAGATTCCGGACTGCATCTTGAAAGAAAGACACCAAGACTGGTGTGGGGTTTTCTCTGATGCTGTCGGTGGTTGTTGTTGCTGCAGTTGACGGGGAAGAGGGACGGACGGATGTTTACTGCGGAGCGGACGGAGGGGGCCAGCGCAGAAGCGGTGTGTCTGGCGGGGTGCAATTTAGTTGGACGAGCGGAAGAGAAATCGGGTTTCTATTCTTAACTTGTACTTATCCTGATTTTTATTCCAGTTCTCAAGGCCACTTTTTTTTCTTTAATACTTGATTGCTACTTTGGTCTCACAATAACAGTCATCATCATCATCATCAGAAAAATCGCGATGGACATTCACAAATCTAACCATCTTTCCAAAAAAAGGTACAGATACAAAGGATACATGCGACCAAAACAAAACGACGTGATATATACAATCCACCCCAGATGTGAATCTTCCAGAATCGGCTATCCGGGCCTCCAACAGCACATAAAATAAAATATAAACAGCAAATCCCTTATCTCAAAAGCAGTGATCGAAAACGCCACCATGCTCAATGGTATCAAATGCTTTCGAAAACACATGGCGGCTCACTCCTTACTACCCGCATAACACCTTTTCCCCGCCGCTACTCCTCGAAAGTGCCGCCGACGAAGGGCCACCGCGATTGCTCAAGCTTGCCCTTCAGGAATTCATAGACAGTGAACGTGACGGCTTGGCCCGGGGCCACTCGCATCACACGGGGCGTGATACCCTTGTAGAAAGCGGCGGCACCCTCCTGCTTGAACATGTCCTTGGCGATGACCACGATGCGGGTCACGGCGGACTGGCCGGGCTCGGCGCGGGTCTTCTGCAGTCTCGTCTTGATGGTGTCGATGGGGGCGTTGGAGAAGGGTCCGACGGCACCGGAGATCAATCCGATGCAGGTCGTCTGGTAGGACGGAAGCTGCGAGTTGGCGTACTCGGGCTGGCTTCGCTGGAGGAAGGCCTTCAGCTCCGTGTAGGCGGTGAAGTTGGCTGCCTGGTTCGTTCCCTGGCGGAGGGCAGTCAACGAGACACCGCGGTACAGGGTGCTGAATCCTTCCTCTCGGATGACGGTGAACAGGGCGTGCGGGGCGCTGCGGTACTTGGGGGTGTCCAGAGGGTCCGACAGACTGTGGTGTTGTGCTTGCAGACGGATCTTGATCACTTCCATTGGGTTGACCACCGCCACGGCTTCCGTCACACCAGCGCAGAGACCAGCTATTGAGGGGAAAATGTCAGTCAGGACTTCTCGGGCCAACCCATTCAGTGAAGCGCTGCCGTGTCGACATACCGAGGAATGTGGCCTTGCTGGTCACGGCTCCAGTCTCTTTGTCCGCGAGCCATTGCTTGTACGTTTCGTAGGATGTGAATCGGATGGCCATCTTCGGAATGATGCCTCCCAGGACGGCTCCGAGACCCTTGTACAATCCCAACGCGGTTTCTCTCTTGACGATATCGACACCAGTGGCAACGAATCCGCGGGGTTTAACCTGGTCCAAAGTGTCAGCTGGAGTGCGATCGTTTGCGCGACTGCGCTACTCACACCAGGGGCTCTGGCCCGACGCGACAACTGCATGCGGACTTTGACGGTATCTAAATGACTGTCAGTGGACTATTCTGATTGCCCGCGGTAGGTCGAGTGTCTTACCTAGAGGATGGCACACGAGGGCCTCCATCATACCAGCACCACCACCAGCTGTCGCGAGTCAGTTATTGTGCGGCAGCGCCTGCGCCGGGAGCGGACTAGAGCTTCGTACCGATCAAATTGACAGCCGGGGAAGCCGGCTTCCTGCCATTTCCTCCTTTCGCAGACATGATGAAAAGATTGTGTGATTCAAGAGATAATCGGTCAATTGACGCTCAGGGCTACACCAGGTAGAGCGCGAGCAGTCGAAGCGATGCGATTGTATGCGCTTTCTTTGGCAATGGCAAAGACAAGGCGAGGAAACCTGGGCGGATAAAAGAAGGGAAGCAAGGAAAAGGGAAGAAAAAAAAAAGAAAGAAAAGGAGAATGGTAAGCCCTCGTTCTGGAGCGCAGGGAAATCTTTTTTTTTTTAAAATAGGGTGCAGGATTGACGGATCGGTGGTTCACAAGCAGTGCCAAATAATTTGCTGGTACGGGGAGATACGGAAGTATAGCAACTACGTTCCCTCGGCTCGACCAAGTCAAGGTACTTAAAATCGGCGATTGAGAGGAGGTCACTGGATCTGGGGTCTAGCGGACCAGTCGCGCAGAATGACTGGTTTGTCCCGGATGACAATAGTCGCAATAATAATAATAATAATAATAATAATGGGGATCGCAAAGGGGGAGGGGGGAATGGAGACTCGGCAATGAGGATCTCTACTTGCTGGGCGGACGGACAGGATGAGTTTAGCCCTGAGAAGCCGGGCGTGGAGAAGCTATGACGGGGAAGCGGAGGAAGCTTCGCTGGACGAGCGGAACTGCGGATGAGCTGCCGCCGCTGCAACAGCCGAAAATTATTCGCAACAAGGAGAAGGATGATTATAGTAAGAGAGGAATAGGAATGTCTTTGATCTATACTTGGACAGGGGAGCATACGACCTTCTTATACGCTGGTTCTCCTCATTGTCTACAAGTATCAAGGCATCAGCTACAGTACTCTGGGAGTACGTACAGTACACAATACATCATCCTTATGCTCATGTCGCCTGGGGGCCTGTCTCCTCCCCACGTTGTCGACCTCGCTCTTCCGAGGCTTCGGGTCCAAGGGCAGCTCTTGGCCTGTCAGTCTGGCAATCCCAGTGACTGACTGAATGAGTAGTACCCGGCCAATCTTCCTCCGAGCGGTGCCACTGGACCACAGCGGAACCACACATACAGGCAAGCAGAGCCCAAACCCTGAGTGCCAGTCAGTGATTCAGCCCAGCAAACTGCATTGGGCGAAGAACCAAAACCACCTTCACATGCTGGATCTTGTCGTCATCTGCGTGTCGTGAACAACATCATCCTCCCGCATTCAGAGTTTGGAAGCTTGTGACAGTGATCTTTGGGAAACTTAGTCAGAGTTTCATGGTGAACCTAACACTTAATTGTATGCACTGTAACAACTGTAGCCCACACAGCACACGGCCCTCAAAATCACAATGGAGGTAGTTCACGGGTATTCCCGGGCCAAGAAACTGGAGATTCGAGATGCTGCCGAGGTCGTTTCCAACCCTCACAGCCCCCTCAGGCTTTCCCATTCTTCCCCGGAGTTCTCTGGACCGGTCGCATTACTGTCTGCTTGGGAAGATCTCGTCCACAAAGATCTGGTGACCTGTGACCACCGGAGTTCTACCATTGCTCCGATGCACAAAAGTGCTTACCCCACGGTTCAGGTTTTATCCATGGTCTGCTGACCGTTTTTCCCTCCCGCGGCTTGCCATTCCCAGTCCAGTCTGTTCCGGCAAATTTCTTGCGAAACTGCATTTGGTAGAGAACCATAGCTCCCAGTTCCTTTTCGTAGTAGACGAAAAATTGATATCGATAATCAATCGTTACAGTACCACGGACCACGGGGTGAAAGCCGGCCGCCGGCCTGAGGCTCTGATTTAAGATCTTCACATGCTGCTGGTCGCACTGCACCGGGGTCTGTCTCACTTGGTTGTGAGGATCGTCTCTGGGGGAGGGAGAACCTCCGATGAGGGGTTCAGCTGCTTGTTCCCTGCGGTAGCTCTATTGCAGCGCTCGAGTAAGTGATGTAGGATGGTTAGGGGAGGGTCACGTGCTCCGAGGGACGGACGGTTGATTGTTGGCCCGATAGGGTACAGCAGAGTATACTGCGTCGATCTAGCTGATGCTGATACTGACTGATACTGTGGATTAGGACTGAGTGCTCCAGATAAGATTGTTGATCTAGTTCTTATCTGGCGTCTACCTCCAGAAGTATGTACTGTGCAACCGCGCACATGCATGCCCACACCCAACAGCAACTGAACAGCAACCGCGTAGCCCACCATGGCAGATCTTTCAGCCTATCGGTTTATCAGGTCGGCCCTAGATTTTGACCCCGATCGACCACCGACACAAAACTCGCCCATCATGCAGAGCGAAAATGGCACAATCTGTGTTTGTCCAACTGCTATAAGGTGAGGGGGAAACGCTTGGCAAGAACCACCTCTCTGAGTTCTACGAAACGCTTAGTGGGAATACATCATGAGCGTGGCCTCGCCAACCCCAACACCACCACCATCACCACCATGGTACCGCCGGGGCGTGGGACAAGCCCTGACAACGACCGCGCGCTTCCTCCTGCGCCAATGGCTGCTGATCGGCATCGGCGTCGTCTGCGTGCTGGCTTACTACTTCCCGAACGTCGCGAAGAACGGGGGCATCATCCGGTCCGAGTATAGCGTGCTGTACGGGGCGATGGCGCTCATCTTCCTGATCTCGGGGCTCAGCGTGCCGCGCGAGAAGCTGTTCCGGCACCTGCTGAACTGGCGGCTGCACGTGCTGGTGCAGGGGATCTCGTTTCTGTTCATCCCGGCGCTGATGCTGGCGGTCGTGCACATTATACTAGTGGGCGATCCGCACGCGCACATCGACCGCGCCGTGCTGGCCGGCTACGTCTTCCTGGCCTGCATCCCGACGACCATCGCGTCGAACGTGGTGATGACGCGCTCCGCCGGCGGCGACGACGCCGCCGCTCTCGTCGAGGTCATCATCGCCAACTTCCTGGGCCCGTTTGTGACGGCGGGCTGGACCATGACCCTGCTGCCCGCGGACCCGGCCTTCGACCCCTGGCGCGCCTCCGCCGACGGCGACCTCTCTGCCATGTACCGCGACGTCTTCAAGCAGCTCGGCCTCGCCGTGCTCCTCCCGCTGGTCGTCGGCCAGCTCGTCCGCTGGACCTGGCCCGACCGCACCGCCTGGGTCCTGCAGACCTTCAAGCTGCCCAAGCTGAGCACCGCCTGTCTGCTGCTGCTGATCTGGTTCGCATCCCCCAATCCCATCCCATCCCATCCCATCCCATCCCACATCTCACACAAGGAATAGGTCAACATTCAGCTCCTGCTTCGCAACCGGCGCCCTACAAACCCTTTCCGCCCAAACCATCATCTTCGTAACCCTGTTCAACATCGCCCTCTACATCTTCATGACAGCGGTATGTTTCATCTTCTCCCGCCCTCCCGCCTTTCTAGCCAGCCTGGCGATCCCGATCCCCGTGCCCGCCTTCCTTTCGCGGTTCATCTCAGCAGCGGAGAACCCCGGCGAGGACGACGGCGCAAAAAGGAGGAAGGTGGTGGAATTCCGGCCGTTTCGGCCCATGGACCCCAAGGAGGCCATCGCCGTGTGTTTCTGCGCCCCCGCCAAGAGTAACGCGCTGGGCATTCCGTTGCTGTATGCCATGTGGGGGTCCTTGGAGCTGTATCTCAAGGCGAAGACTTCGGTGCCGGTGTTGCTGTTTACCACGGAGCAGATCTGTGTGGCGCATTTCTTTGTGCATTGGTTTAGGAAGTGGAGGGTGAGGGTGGAGGGGGTTCAGTTGGGGGATGCGGAGGGGAGTGGGGAGGGTGAGGGGAGTAAGCGGGAGGGAGTTGGTTCTGGTTCTGTTGCCGAGGAAGTAACAGGGAAAGGAGGGACCGTGGAGAATGGGGGGTGGCGCGAGAAGGACGCTTCCACCCTTGTATAACCGGCCATGTTTCGTTTGATAGATTCGTACAATAGAATAAGAATTTACAGGAATAAGGATACAGAACGTGGGTGGGACAAGTCGATGCAGTTCCAGCATCACAGACCATGGTTCGTCATCAGATATAGCTCACTTTCACCCCCATCCCTATCGTCCCCTTGACCTTCTGCCACCCCGCGCCTGTTATCCTCCGAATGCGCTCCCGGATGTCCTGTCTGCTCAGCGCGAACAAGATCCCCAGCATGAAGAGCACCGTCCGCGCGAAGGAGAGCGGGTTCCCCGCGATGCTCTTTCTGATGAACTGCATCAGATTGCGGACCACATTCGTTAGGGCTTGTGATCGCTTGGCTCGCGTGTCGGGCTTGTCTGTCTTCTTGATGCTCTTTGAGCTCGACGGCGAGAAAGCAGTGCGGCCTGTGGAAGGAGCCCCAGTCTTCCCATTGCCCTGCTTTTCGCTGCTCTTCCCTCGGCCCTTGATGCTGCCGTTTGGATACGTCTTCTCAATCCCGTAATCCACCTCGCTGCTGCTCCGGCCATGACCCTTCGGCTGCGACTGTGCGGCAGCAGCAGTGGCAGCGGCGGCATCCTCTTCCAGTTGCCGTCGTTCAGCCTCGCGCGCTTGTCTTTCGAGCTCCGCGTCTTTCTCCCGCTGCAGCGCCGCAGCGCGCAGCTCGCCTTGCTGCTTCTCCTCCTTCAGCCCCTCTAGTGTCTGCAAGAACACGTCTTTCCTTTCCTCGTCGAGGACTTCACTCAGACTAATGAATTCCTGCGCGTAGTCCCATTCCTCGTTGCGAGGAAGCACATGCAGCGTGAACAACTCGATGATCCGTACCCGTGCGTTCAAGTCCTTCGGCGTATCTGTCCCGCCATTGGCCCGCTGCAGCGACGTCGTGGACGAGGAGTTGTCGCGCAGATGCTGCTCCGTGATGTCTAGGTTCGGTTGACCGGACGACGAAAGATAGGTTTCGAGTCGCTGTTGGTTGAGTTTCTGCGAGGGCATATGGCTGAGAAGTAGGGTGGCGCTGATGGGTTGAGCTGTGGTCAGTTGTAGGATCGGGCTGGCAACGCTGAGGATCACTCACAGATTATATACAACTTCCGCGTCAACGGAGCCCTCAAGACCCTGGTAGCCGGTCTGCACGACAGTCTCCCAGATCTGTCCCTCGCGAACCTGGGACGAAATGGCTTTCCATTCCTTTTGTCCAAATACTGCCTTGCCTTCTTCAGGCCCCAGGTCGACAATGCCGCTCAGCAGAGTGATGTAGAGATTCCATACTTTGATCCGCCACGTGGGTTGGGCGGAGGCGATGGGCGGCCCGCCGAGGGCTGAGGAGGAGTCGCCGTTGGTGAATTGGTCGTCATTGCCACTGGGAGAGGTGATGGCGGGTTCCAAGGCGGCGAGCGCTTCTTGAAGTCGTCGTGTGAGAAAAAGGTGCGATGCTTTTTTGTAGGTCTTGGAGCAGAGCTTGGAGGGCGAAAGTGGTGGTGTTGATGTTGCGGAGGAGAGGTGTTGCGACTGAGATGCCGATGGGTCGGCCATTGTAGCTACCGCCAGCGGGAATGCGACAGGCGACTTGAAAGTGGGAGAATGGAGTTGGGAATGATGAAATGAGAGGTACGATGCTTCGACGGAGGAATCTAATAATTGGTAAATCTGGTTGTCAGGCAAATGGCACTTGGGAGGAGGTTGGGGTTGGGAGAGGAGGACGGAACGCTGTACACTAACCGGCACTTCTCATACGGACCGATCGTTTGCTGCTTCCAGCTTCACCTCGGCTTGTTCCACAGTCCAGTCCGGGGTGTTGCTCTGTCACGGGATGGCTGCCTCAGGCTACCACCCCGCGACAACGGCCGTGTTTCGTGACAGCTTCATGCTTCCTGCTTCATGCATCCCTCCACTCCAAGCATCGATCGCCGTCATGTATAATGGAGCACACAGATTAAACCAGTGACTATTGCGTCCGAGACATCAGCCACAACAATATAACATTGCCAAATCATAGGGATTTCAAATGAGCATTCAAGATCATCTTCGTTCCTTCCTTCCCACCCCGGATGCCGCCTCTTAAACAAGATATCGGCCTCTGTTCCTGCCCACACCGAAGTCTGGGGGTGGCGTATGTCAACCTCGATCACTCTAGACCACAATCATTCTCATTCTCCGAAGGCAGTCTACTATCATTATTACTATTATTACCATCCCTCAACGCTCCACTACGCTTCATAGATAGAAAGCATGGATATCACCGCTCAGAACTTCGGGCTCTCTCTCCCTATGCTCCTAGATGAGTTGTCAACCTGCTGTTTTGTAGCTCTGGACTTCGAATTCTCAGGAATAGCGAAATCTGGCGATAGAGGCACGAGCCGGAGGAGCACGCTTCAGGAGCGGTACGAAGAGGTCAAGACATCTGCCGACCACTTCCAGATCCTGCAGGTCGGCTTGACCATCTGTCATGAAGACCCGAAGGAAGGTTGGAGTCCTCAATTGAATTGCTTCCTGATCAAAGGTGCTAATCGGGATGGGAAGGAATCTACACTCTGCGGCCATATAACCTGTACTTGAGCCCAATCATTGACGACAGGCTCGGAGTTGAAAGGCACTGGTCATTTCAAAGCAGCGGTATGCTTGCCGCAAAGCCTGCTGCCTCCGGCTACTAACCTGTTCTTTCATTTTAGCTGTTGCGTTTCTCTTGACCCACAGATTTAGTATGGACTCGCTCTTCAGAAATGGCGTGGGTTATCTATCTAGAGACGAGGAGATCAAGGCCGTTGCCAGAGTCAGTGAAAGGTTCAACCGCTCGGAAACGACGACCGCAATAGGGGTGGATGAAACCGAGTCTGAATCAATTGCCTTCCTTCAACAGGTGCGACGTCTTGTGGATGGGTGGCTTGCGCTTGGTACAGTATGAAGCCTCTTCATTTCGTGAAGCTCGTCTGATTTCCGGCAGGCCCGTGGCAGCTACCTCAACATCCCACCAGCGAGTCGTCCCGGTGCAGTCGAAAGGCCTGGTCTCATGCCGGTGGAGCTTAACAGATTTCAAAAGAGACTCATATATCAACTTGTAGAGGTTGAGTACCCGTTCCTGAAAGCTATCGGACGGTCGGGTGGGTTCCTACAAATCATTGACCGCGACGAGAAGCTGGAAAAAGCTGCTCTTGCCCAGAAACTCGGGTCTACGCAGAAGAGACTCTGGGAACAGACGGGCTTCAGATGGGTCGCCGAGGCTCTGGCTGGTGGTGATCTCACACATCTCCCGCAGGACTACTTCAGCAACCGCTGGGCAGGCTTGCATGGGCCAAGGCCGCAGCTGAATTCAGATCAAATCAAGCGACGCCTGCAAGCCACTCGACCAGTGGTCGTGGGCCACAATCTTTTCACCGACCTGATATACTTCTGCCGATGCTTCTTTGGGCCTCTGCCGGACCGTGTCGAGGAGTTCCAATCGATGGCCCATGAGATGTTTCCTGTTCTGATGGATACAAAATATATGGCTACCCATGATTGCGGCTCCATCAACCCTACGTCTTCCTTGCAAGATCTTCACAACAAGCTGGCTCCCGTCCCTTACCCGAAGACCAGTAAGTGGCCTTCATCCGGCCCGCCACCTATATGAGACTAACATACCTGCTTCCGCTAGAGCTTGCTTCTCAGCATACAAAATACGAACCTCGTGGCATCAACCATGAGGCAGGCTATGACAGTTTGCTCACCGCCGAAGTCTTCATCAAACTCTCTGCACAGCTTCGGGACCGGGGCGCAGACGAGGAACCTCCACCATCAGTCCACGAGCTGATTCGGCAGGGTCAGCCAATTTCACAGATACAGACGCCAGACAGGGGCGCATACAAAACCGAGTTTAGGCAGGGTCAGAGGCTGAGCCTGCCTATCCAACAGAATCGTGAGAGGGGCAAGAACACAAAGGCGACAGGATCAGCCCCAAAGCCTGGTCAGCCTGCGTCGGCTGAATCGCATACGCAGCTCGTTGAGCATACGACCAATACTTACATGAAACTCCGCGCGGACGAGGCTGAGGCCAGCAAGGGCGCGGCTCACAGTGTCAGCGCGGGTCCTCCAGAAGCGTCCCAGATGGTGCTGGGACCCAGTGATTCCACAGTAATCCAAGATAGAGTAAACCGTGGACAGCTGATCCCTCGTCTAGACGCCAAATTCTGGAGCACATACGGAAACAAGTTGCGTGTCTTTGGTACGCAAGAGAGGGTGTGCCAGTTTGGTTGAAGCGGATCGAGAATGCCAATAATAGCAACTCCATAGACTCTGACATATAGCAATGCAGCGATGAGCTTATGATTTACAATTACAGATTACTACTAGCCCCGAGTACCACAATTGCCCAGCAGAACTGACCGAGTAATGGTTGGGGAATGTATGCAGCGTCTATCTAACAGTACACCTTGGTTCAAGAAGGTACCGCTAGCGAAAAATGGCCGCAAAGTACTCACTCTGAGCACCGGAAAAATGATCGACTGGTCGTGGGAAAGACTAGAACAGTGACGATAAGGAAATGGTGCCGTGAGAAGAAAAGAAGAAGAAAAAGAAGGAGAGCAGATTTGGCGGGGCGGGTTAAGTAGCACTGGGTCACGTGTTGTGCTAGCCTTGGGACGGGACCAGAATTGTTCCGACTGGAGTCTCGCCGGCAGAGAGAGAGACGGAGAGAGGCAGGTGACCGCCGCGCCGCCAACTTTTCTCGTCCAGTATCGGCGTCCGGGAGGGACTATATTGACAATCACCCCCCAACATTTCACATAGCCCTTTGGAAAGATGTCTTCCGGGTCCAATGGTGCTAGGCGCATAGCGTCGCTTTTGCGTGAGTTAAATCCAATTTTCGGGTCTTCCCCCGATTCTGCAATCGAACGACGGGCAGCTAAACTGTTGTCCATCTCTCCCAAACCACAGGGCCTTCCGCCTCCGATTCCAGAGTGTGCAGAAGCTGTCAAGAGACAATTGTTCGCCGCCAATATGCCTCTGCGGCGACGACGCAAGGCACCCCCGAGACCACGACCGCGCCGCCCAGCTCGGCCTTCCCCGTCGTGAAGCCCACCCACACCATCAAAGCCGGCGTCCTGCTGTCCCGGCAGCCCCAGATCACCCGCGACCTGAACGATTTCGAGAAGGCGTACTTCTTCTACCAGCGCCGTCTGAACGAGCGGCTGACGCTCCCCTTCACCAAGTACTTCTACTTCAAGCGCGGTACGCCCGCCGACGAGGACTGGAAGCGCAAGATCCGCGAGCGCCAGACCGCCGCCCGCGACATCGGCAAGTACAACGCCTACTCGAAGGACGCATGGAATGACGAGCTGCTCGTCGGCGCTGTCGAGTCCGACCCGGCCCACCAGGTGGAGATGCTCGTCCAGGACGCCGAGGCCACCGTCAATGCCACCTCCCAGGACACCAGCAAGAAGGAGGAGGTCCCCCGGCCGTTCCCCCGGTGGACGGAGGCGGACGAGAAGGGCGACGACAAGAGTTTGAACCGGGCTCTGCAGCGGACGCTGTATCTGCTCGTGCAGTCGAAGGAGGGATACTGGAAGTTGCCCAGCTCCGCGGTGGAACCGGAGGAGACTATGAAGCAGGTACGTTTTTTTCTTTCTCCAGAAGTCCACGGCATCGGTGGCTGTGGGATTGCGACGGTTCCTAACTTATCGTTCAATGCAGGCTGCCCAACGTACCCTCGCCCAGGCGGCGGGTGTCAACATGAACACCTGGTTCGTGGGCTACCACCCTGTCGGCCACTACGTGTACAACTTCCGCAAACCCTCCTCGGAGCTCAAGGGCGAGAAGACCTTCTTCATGAAGGCGCGCATCTTCACCGGCCAGGCCGACTTGGCTGGGAATGCCGATAACCTGACCGACTTCAAGTGGTTGGCCAAGGACGAGATCGCCAAGTACGTCCGGCCACAGTACTATGCCAGCATCAAGAACATGCTGGCTGAGCGGTAAAAGGGTCCCTTCCTGAGGATGTTTTTGCTTCGTTGGCACTGTACTGTTAGGATAGAATTTTCGTGAAGGGGGTTGCGGAGTGTGTGTTGCAGTTAGACCCGGGAATATTTGCATATATCCTTCTGTATGTGTGTGTCTGTGTGTCATGTATAACTAGCTATTTTCACTATCAATGTTCTTATTCCTGTTTACTGTTGGATATCATGTGCAAAGAACCTTCTGTTGCCTCTTCCTTTCCCTGCCAATTGCACCCCTGAACGCCATGCCAGTCACGAATGGGATCTTTACCCGGTAATCCCCCAAATGATAAGGATAAATCAAAACACCCACAACATCAACCCGAATACCAAACAAAGCCCCAAGGGCAACGTACCCATGATTACTTCAAATTAAACTTCTGCCCCTGCACCACCGGCTGGCCCTTCGCAACCCCCTTAGCCAAACTCTTCCCACACATAGGACAAGCTAGAACACCCATCAGTATGCTGCTTGCTTGCATAACAAAACACGGCACAAAACCTCTTACGAACCACCCAGAGAGAAACAAAAGGGAAAAGGGATAGGGATACAAACAATTCTTCTGATACGCGCACCGCTGGCAGTACTTCCGACCCTGCTCGGTCTTGGTCTTGCACATCTCGCACGAGGACGAGTACGCCGCGTAGGGGTTCTTGGCTTTGGAGCTGAGGAGTTTGCTCTGCCCGCTCTTGTGTCAGTATCATTCTAAGGGAGAGGGGGGCGACGGTGCGGTGGCTTTACCTTCCCGATCCCCGTGGTCCCTAACGTGGGTTTCGACTTGTCAGCACTGTTCCTGCCGGTACTGCCGCTGCCGCTGCCGCTGCCGAGGGAGGTCGAGGGCGAGCCGTAGTACATCTCGCTCTTGCGCTTTACGCCCGGGGTGGCTAGTTCCGTTTGTTTGAGTTTCTTCTGGCATTTGGCGCAGACCATTTTGATGAGTTTTTTGGGGGGGTTGGAGGTTTGGGGTGAATAGGTTGGTTTGTTGGTTAATTTATTTGGGTTAATTTATTTGGGTTAGAATGTAGAGCTGACTGGGAGATCTATGATGGATGGATAGCTGAGGTGATGCTTGTTTGCTTGCTGGATGGATGATGGATGGATGGAGAGAGAGATGTGGCGCGGCGCCGGATGGCGATGACGCCACTTGGCGGTGTGGCGCAGTCCTTGGTGTGCTGCCCTTTTTTCATTAAAATTATATAGAGTATAGAAAAGTATAGAAGTCATATCTTAGACTTTTATTTCCTTCACTGAGAATATCTGTTCTCTCTTATCTTTCTTTCCTCTCTTTTCTTTTCTTTTTATTCTCTTTTTCAGTCTTGAAAAAAGAAATCAATTCATGACAGTCCCAGCAGATAGATCAGCGTACTGTCATAATAATCAGTAATTAAGATAGTCGTTCTATAGAGGAACCGAATAGGTAACTGTACTACAGAATAATCGCTGTAGGTTTAGAAGGATAGAAGAACAGTCAACTACCACACCAACTGTTATGAATTTGTCTCTCAATAATTGCTCCATATATGAGGGCCTGACCTGCGGGTTCCTCCCGCGGCCAACTTGGAAGGCACTGCGACGCGCCTTTAGCGGACCCAGCAGGGCCTGTACTTGCACCTTTAAGCACCTTTTAAGCAAGCACCTTCTTTAACATTGTTCCTTAACAAACGCAGCTTGGGGGATTTTTAGCATCCGCCCTACCAGATCCCCTCCGCCCGGCAAAGCGCCCGGCAAGCGGAGTCATGTGACTATTTCTTAGGCTTAATTCTGCAAAAGGTTTCAGCCAATCAGCGTTCGTCATCCTTGCTCACTCAAGAGTTGCAAAGCTAGCGCTTTGCAAACTACCTCAGCTTAGAGCCACTCCTTGTGTCAAGTGGAACTGAAAGTCCAATTGTTTTCAAGCATTATAGTGACTTGTCTTTGCTTCTTATATACAGATCATAGATCAGTTTACGGAGGTAGGCACCAAAGGTCATCGAGGGCACTAACTATATATCTGTATCTCAGATACTGCAGTCATGTACGCATGTAGATATGGTTATACATGCATATTTCTGCCTTAAGTAATGTCTATGGAAGAAAATGATTTGTTGTGCAGTAAGCTAATGCGAAGCCTTCTATGCCTCCGCAGGCTTTCTGGGCCCCCGACGAATCGACCGAGGGGGATTGAGCTTGAGCCTCCTCTCATGAATAGAAGATCCTGGATTCAATCGGATATGAGGCCTATGAATCGCTGAGTTGATTTTGTCGACGGACCTGATGCTGTCACGGATCTCTCTTACAATGCCCATATTCACGGAAGCCACTCGAAAGTCTGCAGAGGTATCTGCTTGAACAACCTGTTGTCGTTTGATCTATAGTCGTACATATCTTGACACTTGGAAACCCCACTGGGGACCTGTGTGCGCCTGGTTGTCTGAACGTCGCACTATACGAAGGTTTAAATCGAGTACTAGTACCTGATTAGTGACTTTATCAGTTCTTATTGATCATAGTTACATCGCACTTGAAATAGCATGTCATCTGTATCAAAATACTGAGAGAAAATAGGTTTGAATCAAGCGTATCCGAAAGCCTTTGGGCCTGTAGAAGAGGTTTAAGTTGTCAGCACGCCAGTGATGGATATAGTTGTTGTCGAGATCAGCGAGGTAATATCAAATAGCCCAACCTCAGACGCTTTAATTGCCCATTAACCCTTATAGAAAATGTCCTTTCCAGCTTTCCCAGATCCGCCATCTTGCAGGGGTTTTCGATGTTGCTCTAGTGTAGTCATAAATTCACCGATTGCCTCGTTCAGCCGTTCGTTAAGAAAAGGATGGCATCTAAAGTTTACTGGGCGAGTTGATTTGCTGCGCGGAGCTGTTCCACTTGTAGGAGCACCTTATGGACAACCAAGAGCTTTGCGATGAGGGCTTGATAGTCATTAGAAGACCCTTGAGTCTCAGAAAGTGTCTGATAGAGCTTCTATGCAAGGCTGGCACCAGCCAAGAAATGACCCACGCCGAATCCAAATGACATGATAGGCGTGACTGTGACTGTGGGGGTGGAGTCCTGGTATAAAGGAAGATGCAAGTGACGATGCATTTGACGTAGGGGTTGAGGGACTTGTCAAATAGCACTAGTAAGCTGTCTACTGACATAGCCACCATATCCTTACCCGTATTGTTATATATCCATGTTTCTGTCTCCCTCATTGGCCTTGCGTCAGGTTTCTATGCACGCGCATGTCAGATGGCCTGTGGCCTGTGGCCTGTGGCTTTTGCGGGGCTTGTTGGGACTGGCTCACACAATTCAAACGACTAGTTCCTTATCTTTCTTTCTTTCGTTCCAATATCTCTAGATCTCCTCTACTGTATGACTTCTTCTTTACAGTATATCTATAGTATCTCTATCTCCAAAACCTCTATAGTCTATATAGTCTCTAAAGCCTCTGTACTCCGTAGTATGTGTACTCCGTAGTACAGGAAAAACAATCCTATTGTGTGTTGTACTGTATATTAGGCGCAGGACTTAAGCTTTTAGTACACATTGGCTTGTGCATTAGGGCTGTGACTTAGTGCCGTCAAATCTCCGTTATAAAGAACATTCAATCTGGACCAATTTAACAAACTACACAGTAGACCCAAGATTTCAGGGACTGTGGAATTCAAGGGTCAATCGTCCCTTAGCCCTGCAGGGTTTCCTTTAGTTATAAAATAACATTTGTCCTATTTTATTCCGAAAGTGCACACTAGCTAATTACGGCATATACCGCATTGGGTTCGAAATTCCTCTCAATTCTTCTGCCTTCGGAAGTTCGCCGTTCAGAATCGCAAGCTCGAGAGCCGGCTGATCCGAATCATTCAACGCTTGAACACGGGCCCCTCGTGCCTGCAGTAACTGGGCTAGTTCTGCGTTGTGAGACTTGATTGCATTCGCCAATTCCAGATCCCCTCCGCCCCGGCGAATATCCGCCCCGAGGTCCAGAATAAAAGCTGTCATGGCCACCATTTCGGCCATGGCCTCAGTATCTACCTGTGCTTTCGAGGCTGGCGACCGTCGACACCGCCTCGCCAGAGCAGCATAGTGAAATGTGCCATCATTGACTTTCCACCAAAAGCCATGCATACGTACAGCCGCTTCTAATAACGGCCCTTCTTGGCGGTCATTGAGAAGGTTGAGATTCCCACCAGCCTCTTCGACAAGAAGCTTGACCATGGCAACATTTCTTCTGCTTACAGCATCAGCCAGGGGAATAACCCGCGCCTTGCGGCCGAGAAAATTTGGGTCCGCCCCGGCCGCTAACAACATCCGTGCAATATGCTCGGTTCCTGACTGAGTAAAGGTTTTTCGTAGTCCATCTTGAAGCACGGCCGCTTTCAGGCTCGGATCGATTACCTCATGGTTTTCTCCATAGTGCAGGAGGAGCTGGACAAATCTCGGTTCGTTTCTTGTTCCTGCTGTATCTCTTACCACTGCCCAGCCCATAGCGGAAAGTTGAGTATCATTGCATTGCCATGGGTTCGCCCCTCGTTGTAGTAATGACTCGGCTATATGAACATGCTGATTGCGGACGGCGGCGCAGAGCCGGGTGCTACCGGATCTATCGTCGATGTCTGGTGAGACGCCTTAGGAGAGGGAAAAGTCGACGACCTCGCCATGGCCCGCTTCGGCGGCAAGAAAGATCGGCTGGCAGCGATTTTCTTCTTCCTCAGAGGAGTCGTCTTCCTCGGAGTCCGTTGGCCCCTGGGATGAGATGTCTTTGATCACGGGCGGACTGGGGAGAGACGCCCCTGCAGCCAATAGTTGATGAATGGTCTGCAGACGGCCATTTCAGTCGGCGAGTGGGACCTCGGAGGAGAGGTCTTTTCTAATATGGTTGAGTTCCCGGGTAGTCGATCAAGGTTTATTGAGTCTGCCATATCATCATGAAGAAATATGACTTTGATGGTATTGACATCGACTAGGAGTATCCAGCCGCCTCAGATTGCGGTAAGTGCTAGGCGGCGTGTGGTTAGGAGCCCCTTTTGTGGTACATAAATGCTGAGAATACATGCAGGGGGGAAATCAGCTGATACTGCTAACTTCGTGACCTTCTTGAAGGAATTTAGAGGCGTGTGGCTCTACATATGGCATCACGGCTACGCCGCCTTCATCCTATTGTGAGTGAGCGATTGTTGATTCATATACTTCTGTCCAGGATCAGGACTAATATTCTGCCGGTAGGGTATCTTCGAGGGTTCGATATTGTGTCTATGGCTGAGTACGTCGATCACTTCAGCTTCATGGCCTACGACATCCATGGAACATGGGACGCCGACAGCAATTATACATCTGCTGTTGTTAATCCCCACACCAACCTTACAGGTAGATGATACTGATCCTCCCACATAACCACTGGTGACTAATGATTTTCATGAATGCAGAAATCGCAGAAGGTCTCGATTTGCTTTGAAGAAACAGCATTGACCCCAGTAAGGTTCTTCTGGGCCTAGGCTTTCATGGGCGCTCCTTTACTCTGGCGGACGAAAGTTGTACTGTCCCAGGATGCCCTTTCGACACTTCCGCCTACGGAAACGGAGGAGGAGCTCCTGGTCCCTGCACCGACACGGTTGGGATTCTCACCGACTATGAAATCAACCAAGTCATACAAGATTATTCGCCTAATCTGGTCTACGAGGAGGAAGCTGCGGTGAACTGGATGACTTGGGAAGGCAACCAATGGTATGTGACTCGCTCTCTCTCTCGACGTACTATTTCTAATACTTTGACAGGGTCTCTTTTGACAACTCGAAGACCCTAAAACAAAGAGCCGATTTTGCGAATGCGAGGTGCCTGGGTAGTCTTTTCTCCTGGGCGCTGGATGAAGGCGGCCCAGGTACACTTGAGAAACCTAGTAGTTGAACACCTCATCAACCTCCTTTGATGGGGCCAGTGTCGATGGTGGCAGTGACGGTACTGGAAACTTCTATGTCGGCCAAGAGATCTATGATTCCGGTCATAATCGTGTGACGAGAGACGCACCAGCAAACCTAATTTTCCCTCCAAGCACACTGAGAAATCCTACTACTCTATATCCTGAACCATTTATCACCATAATTGAAGTGGCATGGCCTACAACAGTTACAGTTACTGTTTCAGATACAGTTACAGTGACTCAGTCAGTGACTAGAACAGTTCAGACCACTACAATTACACTTGATCCAATCATCACAGGATTCATCCCCTGGTGGAATTGGAACATAACTGGGACAAACATTCCAAATCCAACCACAACGCTTTTTCCTAGCATCGGAATTGGACCTGTGATTATTCACGATGACCCCAATCCAATGACGAAAGGAACCGTTTCCCACACGGTAATAGGGAATCGCACGATCTTTATCCCTCCATGGCCTTGGTCGACTACTTCACTCCCTACCACTATCCCTACTGGACCTGTGGTTCATTTTACGCGGGGTTCACCTCCAGGTCCAACTTGCACAGCGGGATGTGGTAGTCTGTGCACGAGTTATTGCGACAAGCCATGCATGGATGACTGTGACGATCAGACGGGGGATGGAGATTCAAGTGGTTCTGATGACCCCACAGACCCAGATCCACCGAGCCATGAGAAGTGTGCAGGTCCTGATTGCAAGGATGGGGAGTGCACCGGTCCCCTCTGCATTAGTCTCGGCTGTACAGGCAGCGATTGTGATGCAGGGAGCAGCGTATGCCCATCTAACCAGCTTCTGTAAGGTAGCGAAAAGCTACATTAGAGGCAGCCTTCTCTACGGGTAAGCAAGAACCCTAAGACATGGTTTAAACGTTCCCCTCTTGAGTATTTGGAAACTAACAGCGAGTTTCTTTAGTAATGGGACCAGCGATGGAACTGGCGAGTGCTATACTGATGGTAAGCATGCCGGGTTCGGCTGCGGCGTCTTCATCAAAGGCAGCGGCTGCAAGATCAAGGGTACCATCATGCAGGCGTACGTTTTGATCCAGTACTCGATTCCCCTAACTTACATGGCAGAGGAATCTAACCCGCGTTTTAGTGCCTATGATCATCTCATGGAAGCGGACTTAGGAGGGTGCAAGATCTGTGGCTCGGTGACGTTCTCCAATGGATGCGAGCTGGTCGTCGATTATGTTCATGGTTGCGAAACGGAAAACAACGGGCCTGCGCAGCTCATTAACAACCCGTTTCCGAGCATTGAGGGATATTTCTCGAGCTCTGCTAAGCTGTCCCCATCACCTTCGTCCTCGTCCTGGATTTCAGACTCCATGGGCCAACATGGCTCCTTCCTCTCCAAGATTTCTTCTGTCCGACCATCTCCGACCGCCTATGTGATCTCTCCGGCCGGAAATACCTACACGATTGATGCCAGTCACAGTGCCTCCGCTCCTGCTGTCTCTCCACTCCATAGTTCTTCATCTTCGGGGCGGGGTTCCTCCGTTCGTGCTCTACACCCGCCGGCGGCCTCCAATTACCGCTCCTCAGTGGCCGCTGTTTCTGCTGTTTCTGCTGTTACTGCTCAATCTGAGACACGGAAACCTCATGGAGTCGAACCTTACAGTTCCACACACACCATCCACCCCACCTCAACCACTGCGTCGATCCCTTCACCCACAGCGTCGTCGACACCTTTGTCCTTCGCCAATCCCTCCGCCCATAACTCGACTATCCCTCGGAAAGGATCGACATCAAGCAGAAGCTTAAGATTCCCTGGGCGATCAAAGGTTAGATCTGCGCGGATCTGAATATGTTGTAGAATGGGGAAGAAGCTGGACTGCCAAACTCAATGTATATAGTGTATTAGTAATTGTGTTGTAACTACTATTTCCACAGGCCCTACCCTACTAAGGCAAACATACCGAAACACAAACGCCCTGTCGAACAGAAGAACGTTTTCCTTCAAGTCTGAGATGGGCACGGTTTATGTTCAGAATAGAAGAGAAATCCAAGAAAACCTGACGGCCCTCGTTTTGGTGATGTCGTCAAAATCCCTGGGTTTGTACAGTACCAGTACTACTGATTTAGCACGGTTTAGAGAGCCTGTTCTAGTCACGTGGGTTGGCGCAGGATGGCTGACAGCAACCAGAGTTCTCAGGTGCGTGCGCCGTGAGCAATCGGTGGATGTCCGTGCTGCCTTCATAGGTAAGCAAACCAGTTCACTTAATTTATCCACTACGTAGCAAGTGACAAGTCATAGTTCGAAGAATATTCCAGGTCATCGTGCCTTAGCCTCCAAGCAAGCCAATAATCACCAATACTCCAAAGATTCACATGAAAATAAAAAAAAAAAAATCCTCGGATTCGCCTGCATGTTGCTTGGGTTGACACAGGAACGAGATCCACACCACGCTGGCCTGATGGTGTGTATTCTTTTGAGACACGAGGCACAAGGCATATCGGTGGCGTAGCTCGCAGGAAGTGCTCTTTAGCTAGAATAATCACACGATGGAGCGACCACAGCTAGACAAAAGGCAGAGTCATCGTTGCCGTTGGGTGGTGTGGCAACTGGTGACGACGATTAAATACTGACTTCGCCCACTTCGGCTTCAGCTCTTCTTCACCCACCCCCAACTCTCGAGCCCACCAATGTCCGACCAGCAGCTCACAGTCGTTGTTGCTCAGCTAACTGGACTTTCAGCTGTTCTGGACTCTCAGCTTTCCAGGGGTCCCACTCTTCAGAGACCTGCATCATGGCAGGGCTGTCTGGTGGTTGCTTTTTTGTTTCCCAATGGCTGCAGGGTGACCCGCCACTCGTGAACTGGTCTGCATCGGTCACTGATGCGTTGCTAACCCAGGCCGCAGACTGGATGCTTCTAGACGGCACAGCAAGGACCAAGACTGTAAGAAAGTTACTGACATAAACTGACAAGAATAGAAAGCATGCCTGCGCACAGGGAAAGGAGAAACATCTATGGGCGGCGCATGGTGCACAGTCAAACCAGCTTTTCAGACTCCTTAGCTCCACGCTCCTTGAGCGCCAGTTCCAGCGGAGTGGTTCGGCCACTTGCTGTCCAATCTTTCTGCCAGACGTTCATTCTGGCAAAGCCAACCAGCATGCTCTGCCTCTAGCCATGGCAATATAAAACAGTGCCCCCTGGTGATGGGAATTGCCACGGCTGGGCGCTCTCATCCTTGGGCTTCCGGTCAGAATCTCGCCGACTTTCGTCAGGACTTAATACTATATCACCAGTGGTTCCTACCATTGTTTCTCCCAGATTGACACGTATCAAACGTCACGTACACCTTATTCTGCTTGAGGTCTACGATACTGTGCTGGAGGAGACAAAGTGTGCCAAAAGTCTTATCCCTGACTCTGGGATTTTGCTTTTTTGTCAGATCCTTCTTGGCTGCCCGGACCAGGCTTGGGCTCCCTACTAGCTTCTCGACTACTGACGCCTTCTTCCCTCGTTAGCTCTCGATCAGCGGAATTGGACGGCACGTTTAGGTCGAACACGGCGTGGCCAACCGGGGGGGTGGTGCGTCCCTTGCTTCAAGGAGGTTGACGAAAGGGAACCTCGACCACACACCGGCACACCTTCACCGCGATTCACTCTTCTCTATTCTTTCTCAGATCTTTCTTCTACTCTCTTAAAACGGAATTGATTTCCTTGCTCTGAAGACCGTTCGATGCTTAAGGTTTGAACCTTAAAAGTGGTGGTTGATCTAGGGTGCTTGTCATACAGCTGGGCGGGTCAAACACGGGGCTTGCTGGATATAGATTACACGGATCACACGCTCGCGAGGAACCGACACCATGCCTCCCAATGGCTCTTCGTTCACATCTTTGAATCTCCCATCGGCGTTTACCCTCCCGCGATGCATGGAATACTTCACTGTTACTGCGGGTCCCAACACGGATCTTTGGCGCAAACCCGGTGCCCGTGACACCGCCACCGCTCCAATCGTCTTTACCTCCCTCCGACGCCGGTTTGAGGTTGCAGAGGTGACGGTGACCGCGGACTGGGAGATGGAATGGGACCAAGGCGGGCTAGTGATCTTCGCCGGGGCGGCACCGCAGTCATCAGAGGATGGACCGGTGCACCGTGTGCCCTTGTCACCACCGCTCCCGGGGACGTCGCCCGCCGCCATTCGACTCGGAGCCACGCCCCATGCCCCGTCCTCTGCTCGCCCCGGCAAATGGGTCAAAGCCGGCATGGAGTTCTGCTCCGGGACGATGAATGTCTCCAGCGTTAGCGCCACGGTCGACGGCGCCGACTGGTGCGCCTCGCCGTTATCGTCCCCGGAGCACGGTCCTGCGATGGTGCACTCGCTGCGCATCAAGCTGGAGCGCGTCGGCCATGCCCTGTGGATCTGGTACCAGGTGCCCGCCGTCGCGGCGCCGTATGCGATGATGACGTCGGGCGCGCTGCCCAGTGGCATGTGGCGCAAGCTGCGTGAAGTGACCTGGTTCTTTTACGGGGTCGAGGACAAGTTCGTGCACGTGGGCGTGTACGCCAGTCGCCCGAACCGGCTGTCGCGCAGTGCGACGATGTGGGAGATGGTGAATGGGGATGGGACGGATGGGACGGGGGCGGTGGATGGATTGGTGGTCGAGTTTGAGGATCTGGAGATTTCTTAGGTTGCCGGAGTATTCGACTTGCCCATGGGTGCATGTTTGCTGCTGCACGGATAGCATGATGGGCGTTTTTCACGAGTTCGACGACCGTTTTCTTTTGTTTTTGCTTTTTTACTCTTTTGCTTCCTTTTCTGTTTCCTTGGTAATGTGGTCATGGCGAGAGCGGAATCGGCGTCTCTGACAGGGAGCCTTTAGGAGCTACTCGGGTGTTTGGATACATTGAGGGTTCAGGTTGCTATCTATGCTTTCAGGTACTGTCCAATTCACCGAATGTTCTTGTTACTAGAAATCGAGAGGCATGTCCGACTCTCTCACAATGTCCCCTTTGGGGGGTTTGCCCCATTGGCAAGCATGCTCCTGAAACATGCATCCTATCCTGCGTCGATGTTGTTGCTGTCAATGTCATTTTTCGATCCTCTACAAGTAACTGATCCCATCGACGTAATTCTCTTGAACCGTGTGTTCAGGAACTCTCTCGCCAAACGCCGCAATGTGTACTGTACATTCTTCACGTTGACCAACATGAACGTCGACGTTCGAGGATCCGATTCATCGAAACATAAAATGATTCAACCCGCTACCACATCCTCTGGATGCATGGAAAACCGAAATGGTCAAAAACCAGTCCGTTCAACATCTCCTCTGGCTAAAATTCGGATAGTAGCATGGCTCAACTGACTCTTCGACGTAGTTTCTGTTGCACCCCCGTCTATCTACGTAGGTACGTATAGCGATTCCAACAACAGTCGTCATGCAACAGTTGCCCGACTGGAGCCCTGGTCTGGGTCACCAGCCAGTGGGTGGTTCTGCTGCTGCTGGTGCCAGGGAGACAAGAGCTGAGGCGGAAACAGCTAGCCTTAGCCTTAGCCTTAGGCAGGCTAGCCCGCCCGCCCGCCCGCCTAGGGGCCAGCGCAGGGCACAAAAACCAAAACCCTTTCCGTGGTTTCCGCTCCCTCTTCTCCACCGCCGGTTCTGGTCGGATGATCCGGGAGGATGGAGAACGGCGAAAGGGGGTGGTGTACTTGCATCGCCCTCACAATAAGGGGAGGGAGAAGGGGTGACGAGAATGGAAAGTGCGAGGATGGTTGACGGTTATTGTTAGAACCGAGTCCCCAATATATCGGCAATAAGGGGGAGATGGGGGCATGGTGGATGGATACGGTACGGTAGATGGACTCCGCAGTGTGGGAAAGGGGAACGATGAAGATGACGAGGGGATACGAGAGAACGAGCCTCGAGACTCCAGGTTCTGTTGCGAGTGAGGTCAGTTCGGAGGGCAAGAACCATGGGATTCAATTTTGAATGATCTAAGGTGGTAGCTGTAAGCTTTCCCCCCCCGGTTCATGTGCACTGGATGTACTGTATATAGTCTACTGTAGTGTGGTGTGGTGTAGGTATGAGTAAGTTATAGTTACAGGTGAAGTAAGCTTGATCCCCAATGGTTAAGCAGGCAGTGCCAGCACAGCAACTGTGGGACCCCTCCTCTCTCGGAGGCTGCAAGCAGCGCAGCAGGCAGGCAGGGAGATCCTGCGGCGGAGATCTTGGTGTGCATATCATATCGACGAGATGAACTCTGTACAGTCCAGGAAATCTGCATCAATGCCTTGATCCCAAGTCTATTCTGTCACCTCGACCTCTACAAATCCGAATTTCTGGTTCGATGGAACGGGTTGTAGTTGTATGATGTTTTTTGTCTTGTTTTGTTTTATTTTGTCTTGTTTTTGTTTTTCCCTCTCTTTCTTGGGGAGGGAGCGCCCGGTGGAGATCCCGACTCAATCACAGGAAGGGAAAATTATTGATGGCGCCACTATTGGGGGGTCTGCCGACGCCACTAGTGGTTGGTAGTTAGCACTGGACCTGGTGGACGAAGGGCTTTCTGCTGGAGATTCTGAAGTCGTCTTGGATGTAGGGCAGCAATTGTCAACTTGAGCGAGTAGTACAGATAGTTGTACGGCTGTACACAAGAGAGCCTAGACAACGCGTCCAGCTCGTCCCGGTGAAAATGACGACGAATATAGAATTTCTTATCTACCACCTCTGACCAGCTGCATGCTTACCTCAGCCGTGCAACGGTCCAGAAGTGGAGGCCATCTGCGGGCGGTGATTGGCGGGGCTCGCTCACCGCATTTTCTTTGCTGCTTACCTAGTTTTAGTTCGAGTTCCCGATCTGCATGCACCACCGCACTGCATTGCAGCATCGCAGCATCGCAGCATCGCAGCATCGCAGTATCTCTCGTCTTCCAACTTGTTCTGCTTGCAGGCTTGCAGTGCCAGTGACTCTTGCCAATGGCCCGATTGGGGAATCCCAGGCATGATTGCGCGGGACAACCATCCGAGAAGACGCCTTTCTGCTGCCGCGGATTGGTTCGTGGAGGAGGGTTGATGTCGGATAGCGTAGGATTAAACTCTTTCTCTTGGGCCTCTCTTATCCTCCTCCCCCCCCTCCCCTCCTCGCCTTCTTATGGTCAATTCTCCGGGCGGTACATCGAGGGTACTCAGTGTACATCTGACAATCAAGTGTATTCGAGGAGAAAGACAAGATGGTTCGAAGCCAAATGCGAGCTGGATTCAAAATGACATACAGCCAAATCATTACTGTGCCAACTCCCAGCTGCCCCGCCAACTAACCAGTAAAGTGAACTAGTTCTCCATCGGTCTTCCGTGCGGACCCATTTTTACATTATCCTTTTTTGTTTTTTTTTTTTCCGCGCTCTCGCTCTCCCTCACGCTTGCTGCTCATTCGAGTCAAAAGAGTTCAACCACAACACCTGAACATACCTTCTGGGATTGACTGACTGACGGACTGACGGACTGACGGATTGAAGCTAGACTAGTCCCAAAAGTCTGCCACTGATATTCCCGACTTCCCCTCTTTCCTCTTTGTTTATTTTACTATCATCATCATCAAATCTATTATCTCCAACTCACTAACCACTACTTTCCCAATTGTACCACCTTCCTCTCCCCCCTCCCCCTCCTTTCCCTAAACTACTCCTCCATCTTTCCCTCTTCCTCTTCCTCTTCCTCTTCCTCTTCCTCTCTTCATACCCCTCCTAAGACACACATTCACATACACACCCACCCAACTTCCTCCCTTACCTCTTCCACCCCCCTCCTCCTCCCTCCTCGTTTACCTTCCGTGCGCGGGTGGCTATTTTTTTTTTTTTTTTTCTGATCCCGGTCCGAAACTTCTCCGCATCCCGCCGGACGCTTCGCCTTTTGTACATTATCGCTGTTTCCGAGTTGAACGCCTTTCGCTTCCCCTTTTGCGCTGTTTGCGAATATCCGGCGTTCATAACGACTGTAACGACATCCCCCACCCGCGACGACGATTCACAATGGAGGCTGTGACGATCTCGATCCGACGTCCCATCGACGACCCCCTCTACCTGGCCGGCACCTTCTCCGACCCCCAATGGGAGCCCGTCGAGCTCAGCTCCAAGCCCGTCGACACCGAACCCGATGAGGACGGACTCATCTCCACCGAATATCTCTTCTGGCACGACCTGACCCTGCCTCCCGGCCAACATCAGTACAGATTCCGTGAGGGGAAAAAGGGCCCGTGGTTTCATGATGAGGCCGTAAAGCATGGTAGGCACTTCCCTCTGGCATCGTTGTCTGGGCTTTGCGCTGTGGCGCAGGGTTTTTGAGTTTGTGCTTTAGGAGAGAGAAACTAATTGACTATGCTATGTAGTACCCGGTGAGGGTGGCTTCGTCAACGTGTTTACTGTTGGGGAGAAGGAGTCCGCGGCCGATGCTGTTCAGCCCGTTGTGGAGAACGATGTCAGCGAGAAGACGGAAGAGATTGTCTCGGAGGACGCTACGCCCAAGGAGAACGGGGTCAATGGAGTCGCCGAGCATGACACACCTGCGCAAGAGTCCACGCCCGAGGAGCACAAGCCTGAGCCCGTCGCCGCTCAAATAGAGACCGAGCTGGAGGAGCCTGTCACTAACGGCAGCGCCGCAAACACTGAGGTCAATGGCACCGAGACTGTGGAGCAGCCCTCGGAAGAAAAGCCTACGGTCACCGCGAACGCCCCCGAAGCCGTGGAAGAGAAGTCCGCCGAAGCTGAGCCATCCACCGAGAAGGAAGAAGCCGCCGTCACTGAGACTCAAGAAGCTCCAGTCATCACTGAAGTTGCCGAAGCCGCCACAGAAGCCGACAAGGACTTAATAAAGGAAGAAGAGCCGACCACTGCTGTTGAGAGCGCCCCCGAAACCGACAGCAAGGCAGCTGAAGAGCCCCAGACGGAGAAGGTCGCCGACGAGCCCGTGCCTAAGGCCGAAGAGTCTGCTACCGAGAGTGTGGCTGTAGAGACTGCCGCGGAAGACACCCCTGCAGTGGGAGCCGTCTCGGAAAAGACTGCTGAGACCGAGCCCGTTGCGACCGAGACTTCCGTTGAGGAGTCGACCGCTCAAGAGCCCGTCGAGGAGCAGCCCATCAAGGAGGTGGAGGCGACTGAGGCCGCGGTGGTCGAGTCTACGGAAGAGGCCGCTGAGGAGGAACCCGTGTTACAAGAGTCATCCGAGTCAGCTGCTCCTGTCGAGTCTACGACTGAACCCAGCGCCGAGACCAAGGAGCTTCCCGAGGATAGCAAGACCCAACAATCCCTCGAAGTTGCTGCTCCTGTAGTTTCCGCTGAGGAGTCTGTCACACACGAGGCCTCCGAGAAATCCGAGGAGACCCCCTCTGTTGAGACTACCGCTCAGGAGCCTGCCAAGGAGGAGCTTCTCAAGGAAGAGCCTGTGAAGGAGGAACCTGTCAAGGAGGAGTCCGTCGCCGAGCCTAGCACCGAGAAGGTTACGGAAGAGCCTGTTGTCACCGAGACGTCATCCGAAACTGTTCCTACTCAAGAATCGACTGAGACTCCAGCCACCGAGGAAGTCGAAGCCGAGCAAGCCGCGGAGGAGCCTATTGAGACCCAAGTCGCAGAGACTTCTGCCATCGAGCCTCTTCCTGAAGTGGCTTCTACCGAGGCGGGCGAGAAGGAAGAGCCTGTTGCGGAGCCAGTCACCGAGGAGTCTTCCGAGGTCGCTGCTGAGGTTGCGCCAGTGGAAGCCGCCGCCGAAACCACGACTGTCGATGAGTCCAAGGCTGAAGAGTCCGTGTCTGAGGAGAAGCCTGTAGAGGAGGCTGCCACTGAAGCCCCGGTTGAGGTCGCCACTGAAGCTTCTGAGCCCGCCAAGGAGGTCGTCGCTGACGAGCCTACTCCCGAGGTCTCGCACACTGAGTCTGTGGAGGAGCCGAAGGAGACCACAGTCGTCGATGACAAGGAAATGGAAGTGAACGCCGTGGGGGAGCCGATGGAGCCCCCTGTGGAAGCCGCCAACGAGTCAGGTCAGACCGAAGCCGCTGCCGAGGAACCTACTTTGGAAGGCGCAACCGCCGAGACCAACACTCAGGAGGAGCCTGCTCACCCAGAGACCGTCGCGGAAGAGCCCGTTGTAGAGACTCCTGCTGAAGCCACTACCTCCGAAGCCGCTGCTCCCGAGATCGCTCAAGAGCCTATTGAGAAGGAAACCGTCACTGAGGAGCCAGCCGTAGAGAACCCTAAGAACGCCATTGTGGAAGAGCCGGTTGTTGAGACCACTGCCGAGAAGACGCCCGAGGAGCCTGTCGTTGAAGTTCCTGCTGAGGTGGAAAGCGAGAAGGAACCTGCTGTTGAGCCCACACAAGAGCAGACCGTGGAGGAGCCTGTTTCTGAGCAGCCGGTTGCTGAAACTTTGGTGGAGGAGCCTGTGAAGGAAGAACCTGCTGTTGAAGCTCCTGCTACTGAAGCGCCCGCGGTTGAGGAGTCCGCTGCTGAGACTACTTCTGAAAAGGCGACAGAAGAGCCTGCTGTTGAGGAGGCAGTTGCTAACGCTGTTGTTGCTGAAGTTACTGAGGAGCCAGTTGTCAAGGAGGAACCTGTTGTCGAAGAATCCGTCGACCCGACTACCGAGAAGACCTCCGAAGAGTCTGCCGTTGAGCAACCAGTCGTCGAAACCGCCCTTGACAAGGAGCCCGAGCAGGAGCCCACAACGAAGGAAGAGTCAACGGTTGAAGAACCAGCTGTCGAGGCCACTCCTGAGGTCAGCCACGGAGAAATTCCGGAGGAACCCGTCGCCGAGACTCCTGCTATGGAAAGACCTATTGCTCAAGAACCTGTTGCTGAGCCCATCGTTGCTGAGGCTGCTGAGACTGTCAATGAGCCTTTGGCTGATGCAGTGACTGCGGAAGAGCCTGTAGCAGAGGCCATCGTTGCCGAGACTGCCAAGGCCGTTGAAGAGCCTGCTCAGGAGACCCCCGTTGCTGAGGAGCCAACTCACGAAGCTCTCACCGTGGAGGAAGTCGCAGACCAGGAGAAGACTGTCGAGGAGCCCGTCGCTGAGGCCACTGAAGAGTCTGCTTCTTCCACTGAGCAGCCGGCTCTCGAGACTTCTGCTCCCGAGGAGCCTTCCGAGGAGGCGCCTGCTGTCGACACTACTGCTACCGAGACTGCCGAAGAGAAAGCTCAGGAGGAGCCTACCGTCGCTGTCGAAGAGCCCGTGGTGGAAGCCGCCGCTGCTGAGGAACCCGTCACCGAACAGCCTACTGTTGAAGAGCCCGCCCAAGTCGAACCCGCTGCCGCTGAGCCTGTGACTGAGAATGTTGTTGAAGCTGCAGAGATCGTTCAGGAGCCTGTTGCGGAAGAGCCCGTCACCGAAAAGGTTACCGAAGCCGCGGAGCCCACCAAGAAGGAGCCTGTCGCCGAGGAATCTGCCCAACCCGAGCCAGCTGCTACCGAGAAGGTCACTGAGGAGGTTGCTGACGTTGCGGAGCCAGCCAAGGAGGAATCAGCTGTGGAGGAGCAAGCACCCGAGGTTCCTGTCACCGAAGAGCCCGCCGCGTCCGAGCCAGTGACTGAGGAGGCTGTCACTGCTGAAGAGGTCGCTCCTGTTACGGAGGCGCCTGCTGAAGAGATTCAAGAAGAGCCTAAGGAGGTCCCTGTTGTCGAGGAGACTCCCGCCGTCGAGGAGAGCGTTGTTCCAGAGGTCACCATCGAGAAATCTCAGGAGGAGCCTAAGGAGGCACCTGTTGTTGAGGAGACTCCCACTGTCGAGGAGACTCCTGTCGAAGAGACCCCAGCTGTCGAAGAGACCCCTGCTGTCGAGGAGGTTCCCGCTGCAGAGGAGACTCCCGCTGTTGAGGAGACTCCTGTCGAAGAGACCCCAGCTGTCGAAGAGACCCCTGCTGTTGAGGAGACCCCTGCTGTTGAGGAGACCCCCGCTGTTGAGGAGACCCCCGCTGTTGACGAGACCACCGCTGTCGAGGAGACCCCCGCTGTCGAGGAGACCCCTGCTGTCGAAGAGACCCCTGCTGTCGAGGAAGTTCCCGCTGCAGAGGAGACTCCCGCTGTCGAGGAGACTCCTGTCGAAGAGACCCCTGCTGTCGAGGAGGTTCCCGCTGTCGAGGAGACTCCCGCTGTCGAGACTGCTACTGTGGAGGCAACTCGTGCTGTTGAGGAGACCACCGCTGTTGAGGAGACCCCAGCTTTCGAGGAGACCCCCGCTGTCGAGGAGACCCCCGCTGTTGAGGAGACCCCCGCTGTCGAGGAGACCCCCGCTGTCGAGGAGACTCCTGTCGAAGAGATCCCTGCTGTCGAGAAGGTTCCCGCTGTCGAGGAGACTCCTGTCGAAGAGACCCCTGCTGTCGAGGAGACTCCCGCTGTTGAGGAGACCCCTGCTCCAGAAGTCACAACCGAGAAGTCTCAGGAAGAGCTTAAGGAGGCTCCTGTTGTCGAAGAAACTCCCATTGAGGAGACACTTCCCGAGGTGGCTGCAGTAGCTGTTGCTGACGAGCCTAAGGAAGCACCGGTTGTTGAGGAGACCCCAATCGAGAAGACCATCGACGAGGCTCAGCCGACATCTGCAGCAGCTGTCGAGGAGCCTGTCGCTGTGCCCGTCCAAGAGTCTGTTGAGGAATCTGTTCCCGAGGTCGCCGAGAAAGAAGTTGAAGCTCCCGCCACGGAAGACTTCATTCCTGCAGTCGTCAAGGAAGATGTTGCCCGCGTGACGGAAAGTGTTGAGGAGCCTGTTGCCGCTGAGCCAACACTTGAGACTGTTGCACCTGCATCTGCTCCCGAGCCTACTCCGGTCGAGGCGGCTGAGGAAACCCAAGTGCAGGAGGAGGAGCAACTTTCTGAGCGTGTGTCTTTCGCCGAGATTGAAGGCAAGGAGGTGCAAACGCCCATCAATGGAGTCATCAACACGCAGACGGCTGCCCAAGAGGAAGTCACCGACGCTGCAAGCACCGTCAAGGACGATACTCCTGCCGAGCCGGCTTCTTTGCAGTCGGAGGAAGTCAGCAGAGAAATCGTGCCTGAAGATTCCGTCGCTTCTGAACCTGTTGCTGAGGCTGCTACGGAGCAAGAGTGCCCCAAGGACAGTCTTCTGACACCCGAGATTATTGCCGCCGGCGCTGCCGCCGCCGTTGCTGCCGGAACTGCTGCTGCCGTTGGAGCCGCTTCGGTCTCCCACAAGGAGCCTGAGGCTGCTGCACCTGCTGAGACCAAATCACAGGAACCCCAGCCCGAGAACAAGGACAAGGCCGTCAACGTCGTGCCTGGAACCTGGCCCACTGAGGGTAAGAGCTCTCTGGCGACGAGTAAGCAGCTCGGAACTGACCCTGATACAGCCCTCGCCGGTGACGACGCCGCCAAATCGACCCGCGAGCCCACCGCCGAATCGTCATCGAACGCTGCTGACAAGGCCGTGGCCACCAAGGGCGATGAGAACCCTCGCTCACAGAGTCAAAATCGGTCAGTCACCGCTGTTTCTCTGAATCATAAGAAGCATGACAGCTGGTTGAAGACTATCTTACGCGCTGTGTTTACCAATTTCTTTGGAGCAATCTTTTCTCCCTTCCGCCGTCGCGGAGGGAACAACCAATAGATGTGTCTCCTGGAGATGCTGATTTCAATGAAGCCCTTTCCTTGGGAAGAGTGGAGATTTGTCCAGAGTTTTGATGCTTACGTTTGTTTATTGCCAACGCTAATGTGAATCAGGAGTCTGTTCTTGATGACCGTTTTTGCTGCCCCCCTGCTCGCATTTGTTTGGCACGCATATACCCGCTGAGTTGTTCGAATTTCTTGATGCGAACCTGCGCCGCTCATTTCTATTACTCGAATCGATTCCCCTGTATTTGATATCTTCGATGGTTTTCTAGGACGAGTATGTTTATTCTAGTGTTATTTTACTCTGCTTAAGATTGTTCGAGTGTCTTTGACGTGTTTAATGGTGATGGCGATGCGAGACTGTCGATTCCGTGGCAGTGCAGCTGCAGTGGCTTTTCGCATACAGTTCATGGTTTGCAGTTTGTGCACAGGTCCGACGCAGATTATTGTTTACCCATAGCATATAATGATGTCCTATGATTGATGATAATGAGATTACTGGTTCAATGACTTGTTTGTCTTGGTGTCTCTTGTTTATCATAGATTTATACATTGATTTACACTGAATGGGAGTAAGAATCCAACCACAGTAGTCGGAGAACGGGCATGATAAAGCCCAACCTTGATGGTTCTGCACAACCAGTATCGAGTAGTGGAAAGGTCTTTCCCAATTGTAGCCGACGATTAGGGTTCCTACTCCCCTCAGCACAAATGGATGCAAATGGATGCAAATGTCCCAGCAAAATATGCATATCTCCAAACCTCATCTTCTCTCCGTCTGGCGCTCTTGAGAATCTAGTATGCCCATGCCGGCTCATATGCGCATAATACTTATTGTAGCGTACTGTTAGTATGGAATCCCAGCCTGTAGCAGCGACGGAAACCCTTTTGGTCCGTCTAGCAGGAAGAAACTCGAGGCGAAAACCATGAGCACAGTGACACGACATCATTCGGCTCGATGGTTCTTGGGGGGAGTTTCTTCTGGGGAAGTCTTGTTTTTGCTCTGATCTTCTGTTCGGTTACGCTGGGCTGGACTGGGCTGGGCTTTGGAGTTGATGCCTTGGTGGAGTACGATGATGGAGGATGTAGTTGGTGAGAAGGGTCAGTAATAAGTAAAACAGCAACAGTAACAGCAACAGCGTCAGCGAGTGTGGCACTACCAGCATCGGATCAGTAAAACACTCTAGCAGAGATTATTTGGCAAAGAACCAAGTCAGATCTCCTTCTTTTGTGTTATCTTTTTAAAGACATACTCAGTCGAACTTGTGAAGCGTTTTTCGCTTGAGATGAGGTCAAGGTGCGGAGCTAAGCTTCAGTTTTCTTGCTCTTCTCGACCATCCCCTTCCGTGTGATAGTGGGAGTGTAGCTGGAGGTGCATGTTTGTTCATGTTAGTTGTTTGTACTGCAAGGTGGATAGCTTGATTGTAAAGTCCTCATGAGTGTCTTGTCATTTGATAGCCTTCCATCCAGAAGCCTCTAGTTCGAGATTGTCAAGCTTCGAGTTCCAGGCGGGTCAGTAGATGAAGGGCAGAATTGATCGACCTAGGGAGGCAGACGGATCCCCCAGATTATGTAGTGTGCTGCATCTCCTGTCCTCGGAATTGGAATGTGGGGGATGTTAGCTGTTTATGTTCTTTACCACCTAGGATATTCTTTTCCTTCGGTTGCCTCCTACGTCAGATCTTTCTCTCATATTCTCGCGGGAATATACCCAGTAACACGCGGCGAAGACCGTAGTGCTATTTCTTCAAGATAAAAAGAGGATACCAGCTATACTTGCTTCATTGGCTTGGGATAGATAGCCATTCTTTCTCTATCTTCGTCTCCGGGGGAAAACAGGGGGACTCTGGGGTAGTGACTGGCCCCGCATTGATTCTTAGGAATCTGCAATATGGAAAGCTTGGCTGGTGTATGCACAGTCCGAGGTGCTAAGGATGATAGTATAGAGCGATTCCTTATAGAACAAAAGGGTCCAGGCTCTTCAGCCATGCCCTTGTGTTTGGAGTCACGGCGACACATGGTTCTGAAATTTGACATTCCATAGTTCTTTGATTTTATAGTGTAATGCTGTCTGGGCTGAACTGGAGGTTAAGTATACAGTGCTGTACATAACACTAAGGCTGATGAACCTGACTTTCCCTAATCATGGGTCTTAACTGAGAATCTGAAGCATTTCTTAGAGAACTGTTTTCTCTGATCGTGCAGCAATTTGTCAAGCTTACTTGTACTGAATTGCCCTTAAATCTGAGATTCTATTCTATTTCTTTTTATCATCGATACTCTTACTTCTACTCTTTATCCCCTTAGATAGACAAGAAAGCATGTTTATAAACTCATCAACCGGCTTGCTCCAGTACCAACAAGCCCTGACATCCTATACTGCCCTGTTAAGCCTATGATGTAGAGAAATGAAGCTGTAAACACCACCCCAAGACGCGATCAGCCGCCCTGAGGAAGAAGGTTATAAGATCTTCTGTAGAAAAAGTAAAGTCAAGCTTGCTGCGAAGCTATTCACAACAGCCCTGGTTGACCACACCCGAGTCATCTGGCTTGCTCTCTCCACTCTGTGTTATCCATTCACTCAGTGAATCTTGACTCTCACGGCTTTTGATCTCCGTCTCGCCCTCCCCTCTCTTTCTAATTCATCCATCGAAAGCCTTCTTTTCTTTTGATTCTTGTTCGAACGACTTCTTATCCCGAACAACCATCCACATCCAACCTCACTTCCATCATATGAAAGGTAAGTTGCCGTCGTTCTTTCTACAATCTGTCCTTTGTGAAATGAAGGTGAGAGAACAGACCTCTACCAACGAGGATCGATTCGATATTGAGAGGTGTTTCGAACACTGACTCCCTGACTGTGGTGTTTTGATATCAAGAGGCCCTTTGTATACAGACTACTTGACTGCGGTGTTTCTCGCGATAGACAGTTATCCTCCACATACCTACCCATCGCTTCCAGGCTCAACTTCTGCTTGATATAGCAGAGGAAGGTTTGTGATCCTCACTTCTTATGCTTCATCTCGCGAGCCTGTCCCAGCCAGACCCAACAATAAGACTTGATGCTAACATGATCGATCGTCGTTCCTAGGCCCTGGGAAGCAGTTCCCTCTGTCAACTGCAGAACATAAACCGGGATACTGTTGTGTGAAACAGGGAGCGAAATAGAACGTCGTTGCCCTGTTGTGATAAAGACGCGTCTTTGTGCAAAGCCACGTAAGTTCATTATTTGGCTGCTATGTTTCATCGAACACCGCAGTAAAAAGACTGGTCGATGATAGACTAACAGCCTTTCAGACCTTGTCCATCTGTGCCTCCAGCACAGCGATCGCCGACCATGGCGCCTCTAGACGGCAATGCGTGGGCGATCAAAGCAGCCCGTGAACAAGAACGCCTACAGCAGGTGCAGCAGCAACTGCAGAAAGAGAACAAGACTCAAAGACCCGAGACGCGGTTCTCCAAAGGTACGTTCGTTCGTTCGTTGCTGCACAATTGCACAAACTGACAGCCGACCGACCGTATAGAAACCACTTCCACTACCACTACCTCCACAAAGCCCTCGTCTCTGGTGTCGTCGAGGAAACCTAGTAGCTTCGTGAGAACAAGTTACCATGCTGAGATAGACGCCGCTCTTATGCGGAGCACCAGAAACCGGGTTCGCATCTCGGATGAGACGCCCGCGACTTCGGTGTATAGCGTTGCATATAATGATGATGATGATGTTGATGATGATGACGACGAGCCGAGCATCTCCCAGGTGAAACGGACGTATGCAGAGGTAGCAGTGCGACCCCAGGCGAACCGGTCCTTCACGCAACCCGAGGTAGCCACGCCCAAGGCGAAACGCTCCCTCACCGACGTCGAGTTCAAGACGAAACGCTCCTTCACCGCGCCCGAAGTAATCATCACCCCCAAGGCAACAAAACGGTCGTTCACCGACCCCATCCGTCGGTTCAAGAAGGACAAGCGGCCCAAGGGTGTTCCCAGGGGAGACCCCGGCCCCGAGCACAGCTACTGGGAGCCGGACGAGAAGCCGACCTTCCTGCAGGCCTTGCGCTCTAAGCTCTCGTTCAAGGACCTGCCCCTGCTCGGCCACAAGCCCCCCGCCGACACCTCGCTCTGGATCCGCGCCGAGGACTACCTGGACGCGGTCGACCCGGGCTGGCGCAAGGACATCGAAAAGGGTCTGCTGAAGAAGCACGGCATCTTCGTGTCGGAGCCCCCCAAGCAACCCATCCCCGTCAACCCCAAGTATCCGGAGGCCACCGTCTGGCGTCCCCCTAAATACCCTAAGAACCATAAGCCCTGCACCTGGGTCGGCCCGCCCCCAGAAGATGACCCCACCGAGGCGCTGCCGCAGTCGACTGGGGAATGTAAAGAAGATAGCAGCAGCACGGCTGTGGGTGATTCTGCGCAGGACAATGTTGTTGGTGGTGATAAGCAGTGTGAGGCCCCGCTTGTGGTTGACGAGACAAGTGAACAGCCCCGTGTGCGGATGCCGCCGAGACTGCAGCACAAGACCGGCAATGTTGCGCAGTATAAGCCGCTCGTCATCGATAGGGTGACGGATGTGTCCGCTCATCAGTCTGGCTTGCTCAAGACTGATGAGCAGGAGCCCGGGAAGTCGAAAGAGTATACACCACTTGTCATCGGTCGATCGAGGTCTGGGTCCGCTCACTCTTCCAACACGTCAACGTCGACTATCACGGAGCCAACATCAACCGTCAAGAAAACTAAGCCCATCAAGTCCATCGAAAACACACCACTCGTCCCCGATGGACCGAAAGAAATCTCACAACGCAACGCCGACAAGGCGGAGAGCACCAAGCCCCAGCAGTCCGAGGACAACAAACCCGAGGACAAGCCACTCGCAATCGACAGCCCAAAGAGCGTCTCCTTCAACGACTGCAGTGGCAGGACTACATCGGCAGCGCCCCAAGCTCCCACCCCAAAGCTGGAATACAAACCGCTTATAGTCGACGGATCCAAGGGCGTGCC